AATCGTGAAACTATCCAGCTTTCATTTCCTTAACATTCAATATGTCTCCCATTGAACGCATCAAAGAAATAAGAACATGCCGTCTTCTGCAAAATTATAATTTAACAGTATAAAGCTTCAAGTCACAAATTCCAAAAACTAGCTAAGTAATTTTTTTTTTTTATCACATAAACTATACATTAAATATTTTGAGGTATTTCAGAGAACATTGTCAAAGGCTTGTAAGGTCTGTGCTGGGTGGCAATGAAGGCTCTTTCTCCTGCATAGAGAACGTCTTTGGTATCACAAGCCAGGGAAGGGTTGGGGACAAGGGGGGTGGCGTGGCCAGGAGGGCTGGCGAGCCCTGGCCAAGGCAATAGTGTGGAGGAAGGGACAGTGGGGACAGGGAGGTGACAGGGGCTGAACGGCCCTCTCAGGCTGCCCAGCGGGRTGGAGAACCCGCACGGGGCTGCTCTCGCCAGGGGCGTTGGAATCCTGGAATGTCCTGGGMTGGAGGGGACCCCCAAAGATCACCAAGTCCAGCTCCTGTCCTGCAGGGGACAGCACCGAGAATGACCCCAGGGGTGGCCCTGGGCAGGTTTGGTCCAACTCAAAGGAGTCGCTTTGGCCGGAGCCTGAACCAGGCAGGTGCAATTCAACACAAATTTCCCCTGAACTGGGCATTCTGGAGATTGCTGGGGAAGAGCATCCGGAGGGCATTCCCGTTGCCTTTGGCTGCAGCCAAGGGGCAGAATGGAGCAGGCTCAGCTGCACAGATCCCCCCAGAAACACCCCTTGGGGGACAGGGAAACGGCTCCTGCTGAAAGGATTCATGGCTCCAACCCATTCCCTAAAGGAAGAGTTTGGTTCAACCCATTCCCTAAAGGAAGAGTTTGGCTCCAACACATTCCCAAAGGAAGTTTGGTTCCAACTGTTCCTAAAGGAAGAGTTTGGTTCCAACTGTTCCTAAAGGGTTTGGTTCCAACCCGTTCCCTAAAGAGAGAGTTTGGCTCCAACCCATTCCCTAAAGGAAGAGTTTGGTTCCAACTGTTCCTAAAGGAAGAGTTTGGTTCCAACTGTTTCTAAAGGAAGAGTTTGGTTCCAGCTGTTCCTAAAGGGTTTGGTTCCAACCCATTCCCTAAAGGAAGAGTTTAGCTCCAATTGTTCCTAAAGGATTTGGTTCCAACCCATTCCCTAAARGAAGAGTTTGGTTCCAACCATTCCTAAGGGAAGGATTTGGTTCCAACCATTCCCTAAAGGAAGAGTTTTTCTCCAACCCATTCCTAAAGGAAGAGTTTGGTTACAGCCATTCCTAAAGGGTTTCGTTCCAACCATTCCCTAAAGGAAGAGCTCATCTCCAACACATTCCCTAAAGGAAGAGCTCATCTCCAACACATTTCCTAAAGGAAGAGTTTGGTTCCAGCCGTTCCCTAAAGGAAGAGTTTTGGGAGAAAACCCAAGGTGAAGCTTTCCACCACTCCTGCCTTCATCTTTGCAAACAGAAATGCCACAGACTGTGCTACCAAAAGTGGGAATTAAAGCCCAAATCTGAGCCGAGCAAAGCAAAAACACCCCATAAGGAAACTCATTGTGTCACCTCATGAGGAAACTCCCATGGTGAGCCTGTGAGGAAATTCTGTCACCTTATGAGGAAATTCTGTCACCTTATGAGGAAATTCATTCCCTTTGTCACCGGGTGAGGAAATTCACTGTCACCTCATGAGGAAATTCACTTTGTCGCCCCGTGAGGAAATTCACTTTGTCACTCATGAGGAACTTCGTCACCTTGTGGGCTTCTGTGAGGTCCCAGCACCGAGAGGCTGGAGAAACATCTCCAGAACGGAGCAAAGCTTTTCCCTTCAGCAGGGYCACTCTGGGGCCAGCGGGGCTGGATGGAGGCACCCTGGGGACCAGGCTGGTGGACTTTGGGACATCTGAGAGGAGGAGGGGACATGCCGGGAAACCAGCACCTTTCCCGCAGCRAGGGGGATGTTTTCTCTTCATTTTGGGGTTCATCCCTTCGTCCCGACACCCAAAGACTACGAGAGCTGTGGGGATCTGTCCCTGCGGAGAGCTGAGGTAACCGTGAGTCTTTAGGGTCAAAGCAGAGGAGCAAAGAAATGGCCACACACCTTTGGTACAAGAAAAAGGCACTCATCTACCACGCTGCCATCTCTGGGTCGCTCGCTCGCCTCCTCCCTCGCTCTCTGGGAACTCCACGGGGCCGGGGTTGGGGCTGGGGGAGGCCGGGGTGGGGGTCTCAGCCAGGCTGGCCACGGGGAGAGCAGGGAAAGTGGCGTTTCCAGCACAGACCAGACAAGGCAACAAAATCTTTGGTATCAGACGTGATTTTCAAATCACAAAAATTGAAAACTCAAGTGAGGTAGCCTTTAGTCTCGGGTTCTCACTAGAAATGTCTTTGCATCCTTGAGGGCCTGTGGCATTTACTCTTTTTTTTTCTTTTCTTTTTTTTTTTTTTTTTTTTTTTTTTTTTTTTTTTTTTTTCTTTTTTTTTTTTTTTTTTTTTTTTTTTTTTTTTCCCCGTTGTGTTTTTCACTTCCCAAACCAAGGCCCCCTTCCTGGCTTTTCAGCCCTTGAATACTACTCGATGGGGTTTTCAGGAATCCACCACCATCGTCACCACGTCACGACAAGACAAGAAGAAACAACATCAGGGGAAAAAAAAAATCATTGGCAGGGCCGGGGAGGGGAGCAGGGTCCTGGGGGGGATGAAATTCCCGATAGGTTTTGGGTTCTGGTTGGCAAAACACGCCGCGGCACCGGCCCCTTCCCTCCCTGCCCTCTCTCCATCCCTCCCCCCTGCCCTCTTTTGGGGTGACCGTGTCCAGTTGTCCAGTCTGACACCCCCCAGCCCCTCCACCGCCCACCTACCCCAGAGCTCTTTGGTTCAAGGCGTCCTCTGACCCCACCGGCGACCGCGGCCGGTCAGGGCTTCGTGTGCAGGGGTATTTTTTTCTTTCTCTCTTCATTCTTTTGTCCTTTCTTTCCTCTTTATTTTTTTTTTCT